TTTGTATGATGTACACAAAAAAATTCACGGGCTTATATCCTTTCAACAAATTTTGCCACAGTGGGTGTGAGCCAAATAATACCTTACACGGATTTCGATAAAAGATTGCATAACGGACAAACATTGCGCCATAACATTGTAATAATATTATATTCATTGAGTACTTTTCACTTATCACACATTTATTTGACGGTTACTCAGCGTTCCTTTATGTTTGTGATGATTCTGATTATATGAATATTATATCTACTCTTACTAGCCCAACAGGGTGCTTTAGCTGTCGAATTAATAGGATCCGTTTCTTGTTCAGGTTGAAATCAACTCCCCCGAAGCATCGTTTGCAGCCTAACGAAAAAACCAGATGTAACAGCTAACTGTAATACAATTTCAGAGTCTGACAAAGGAACTGGTCGTCGTTGGTATTACCCTCATGGAATCGGTACTAGAACAAGCAGCGATTCGACTGTTTGTCGTTTCGCAATCGAAGAACCGCAATGCGCTGAGGCTGCATTGTGACGTGTTGAGAAATGCATCCATTATATTTATGTTCAATTCTAATGTGTCTTGCCATTCTAATGATTTTCTGGCATACAATTTCCACAAATATAAGTGATATTTGCTCCGTTGATGCACGTAGGCGTTTGTTTAAACGCAAATTTTGACGCTCGCTGGTCAGCTTAATTATTCCTGGAGTTGCTCACTCCGAAAGGTTCAAAAAGAAATGACATCTGGATATACGTTATTTCTTTCATGAGTAAAATCCAGTTCTTCCATAGACATCTATCTCAGACAACTATGCATGACGTGCAGACTTGACATACTGTAAAAGTGAAACTATAACTAAAATGGTATAAGAATTACCAGCTTCTAGAATTCACCAACTAACAGATAATAATTTATGAGATATGGGTGAAATTTGCTTTTTGTTGCAGGTGGAATAATTTTTTGGCCGCACTGACTGCCTAAGGAGCTTTATGCACGTAACTGCCACGTCTGCTTAATCCATCGTGAAATACTGTTTAGATGATGTTGAGCACTCCGTGTCGTGATTGTCATATTAGGAAGGTACGTTTGAGATACCATAAATTTGCTTCCGCCTGCAGGAATTGCTGCGGCCGAAATTCAATGATGCTATCTAAGCGATTTTACAGTGATTGGCTACTTGCTGAATCCTAACCGAACTATTTAAGCAATAAAATGAAAAGATGTACTAAAATAAACTATTTGCTGCTAACTTTAATCCAATAAAAACAATGCTAGATCACCTTGAAACTGCTTTTGAAGAATACCTACGACTCTTAGGAACATTAATAATTAACTGTAATATTTACAACACTTCAAGAAGTACCTTATACACACATCGAATCCTTATGACTCGGATGAGCCTCGATCCTACAATTTTAAATTTTAATTTCTCCGTAGATTACTGTAAAACACTCGTTTGACAACCAACCTAAATCCATCCATTACTGTACATACCTAGACCCCGTCAATGTACAGGATCTGCCGCTGATGTCTGCTCCATCATCTATAGTGCTGCGAATTTCTGATCCCGTGGCGATGCAGATAGCACATAGCAGTTCATCTTTCTGGCAGAACTTTAGGACTCACCAATATAAAATGTCGCCATCTTCCTTCAATAATGCATAAGAGTGAAGCATAAATTATAAAATTTGATACGTGACAGACGGCTCTCCTAGTGGTTCAACAGCGAATATAGGAGCAATTTTCCAGGAAAAACACCATGCCGAGCTAGAATAATGTATTAATCTCCCAGAAGACAACCACCACCTGCTCGATCCATATAGGCTGCTTGGACATCAAACCACACCAGTCGCTGATTCCAGTTCAGAACTTGCTTTTACAGCCAATCGCTTATTAAATACTGTTAATTATCGCTGTGCATAATAATCAGTAATATAAGTCAGATGCCTAATATGTATAAAGGATTTGACTCAAAAGTAGATGACGACAAAAGAGATCTATTTCTGCTCACAAGTACTGGAACCTCCTATTCTCCGATAGCCTTAATGCCTTCATGCCTTCAATGGATTCAAAGATTCTTGCCTTCAATGGATGAGTTTGGGATTAAACTATCCTTGCAGCAACCTAGACAATCGACTATGAGGATGTAGAAAACGGATTGATGCATACCTGACGAGCATTAATCAGACAAACTTCTGAGACAGACTGTAACTAAATTCGCCTCTTTAACGGACTGTGCTCACTCGGGCACATATAACTTTAGGGCACACCAATGGCACTCGGTTAATCATGGTTTCGACCACTACAGTGCCAATACTAACCAATTCATTTCTAGTCACAGACCTACGTGGAAAACTAGCATACATTCTGCGACATAAGACATACGACAGAATAGAGTTATTGCAGAAGAATAATGTTTAGTGCCCTCCGCACAGTGCAGATCATCGAAGACAGAAGACTTTTTTTCAAAAGATGCAAAAGTTGAGGAATTGAACCCGCGTGGCGATATCGCCAGAGCAGAACAGAGCAACAATAAAGCAAAAAATCTCAAAAACGGAACATGACTCAGAGGATATTACTTAAAGCCAAACACAGGCGCGCCGTACCAAGACAGAACTGCAATCGCAAAACTCAGTGACTCCGTCTTCATCAAAATGGAAACGAAGGCACACAGCCTTTGACCAAAATTTGAGTTACCCCCACTCCTTTAAATGAGCCACCAGTAAATGGAATGATTCTTGAACTAAATGAATTAACTCTGAATGCGCTATTAGAACATTCAGACTGTCCCAAGAAAACAAGTTGAAATCACTAATAGCATCATCAATATGGAGTGGGCGGTTTCGGCGGGGGCCGACTCAGTCATTGAATAGAAGCCAACCAGCAGAAAACCGGCAATCCTCTGACTGAAGCTGCAACAGACTAAAGCTTTACCTCTGCGCATCATTTGAAGGGCAAGAATATGAGTCCCTTTTTGAAGAAATAAATTCTGCTGTGCACCAAGTGAAGAGTACTGAGTGCCGCATTATAAGAGATGATTCAAATACATACCAGAGTAGATACTTAAGAATGAAAGGGTGTGACTGGAAAAAAGGCTCTAATGACGTCAGCAATAACTGCATCAAATTATTCTGCTTCTGAGAAAACGATGGACTGTCTGCAACGATCATCGAAATGAGAATCAGTGAGCCTAGCGCAGAAAAGTTTATGGGCAGAAGTCTAGGATCGGTTTGATAATCGTATTGTCCGACTATTAATGACTCTCTGTAGTGGATGTTCGTGTGAAGAGAGGCTCAGAGCCATCATCCTATGATCAGCTTGTTGTTGGAACGCTGCGTTGTAAGAAATGGAGTACCATTCGAAGATCTGGTGGCAGAAGCAATCAGCGAATCAAATGGGACACGATATCTTCAGTGGACATGACAGCGATATTTGCAAACAGAATCGCACGACGGTTTGAGCAGATTCCGGTGATGGCAACTGATCTAGAAACCGAGTGGCAGCTCCTTAGAAGCAGCATACTCGAAGCTAGCGCGAATGCTGCGGATTTAAACGGATTGGCCTACAGCTTGGAAGTCAAAAAAGATCTTCATGGTGAACACGAGAAGTACAACTGGCAGTTAAGGAGAAGAAAGCAGTGTTCAAGAAATGGCTTGCAAACGAAGAGCCTTTAACTCGCGTGCGATATGTCGATGCAAGCAAAGCGGCAGCCATAGCAGTGGCAAAAACGAAAGCTAATTCCTGGGAGAAGTACGGTGAGGTGCTGGAGTCGAATTTCCACACGGCAAACAAAGTATTCTGACAGACCATCCGACGGTTTCGAGGTAAAAAGAAGGACAGTCTAAGAGTCTTGAAGGACAAGTCACGACACCTTCCTACCGAAGCTGAGAAGATTCTTCGGTGATAGGCGGAGCATTCTGAGGAGCTCCTTCGAATAAACATAGCAAAACTCCTCCGTAGAGCAGCAGGATCGGACATTACTATTTCTCTAGAAGAAATTACACAGGTTAGAAAATTTTTGAAATTTGGAAAGGCTGCTGAAATTGATGAAATCCGCCCTGAAATGCTCAATACATTAGGCGAACAAGGCATGTGCTGGCTAACACGTGTCTGTCAAACTGCGATGACTGCGGGAAAGACAC